ATTTTCAAATTTATAATGGAAGTCTATGGACGGAATGTTCAGCTGCTAGAGTGTGCCACTCTAGCGTTTTCAAACATTTCACTCATGCCGAAAAGCTTCAACTCACTCGCTCATTTTTTACCCTATCTAGATAAATTTTACATCAAAACGTAGGGATTTTTGTCAAGATTCAGGAAATGTAACCCTCATTTGTGTGGCATTTACGGTTTTCCGACAGTTTGGCCCAGACCACGAAGAAGTCCACACTTCTCCAATAGAAATCCAAAGAGAGCTCTCTGAAAATCCGAACTGAAAATAAAAAAAAACAGACTTTTTCGTATCGCTCCCATTTGGGAACCGTTAGACGTAGCAACATGAGCCTTGTGGAAGTTGTTCCTCAGACCTTCCTAGCACTCACATTGAAGGAAGTGTGTCGATATCTTTTATCGTTTAGCCAGGAAAAAGGTTTGTTCGGAGGTAACAAATCTGTCCGAACCCCAAAATCAAGATTTTGACAATTATACACTTTTTTACATCGTCACCACGCCTAGACGAAATATTGTAGAAATATGAAAGTTACACCAGTTGTAGTCCAAAGATGGCTGACGCTCACGGTGAAAGAATTTTTTGAATACCTAATACGGTTTTGGCTCACCGCTCGTTTGTTCGGAGGGAAAGTTTTGCTTTTGAGAGTTCTGCTCTACCATTGTCCTGCATGTTATTCAATGAGACCAGCAGGATTTCTCAAACCTTTTTATTCCTCCTTCCCATTAAGGTTGTGAATGAGCTACATCCATGAAAGTTACCCCAATCGGAGACAAAGGATAGCTCTCGCTTAAACTGAAAGAATTTTTTGGATACCATTTACGGTTTGTCTTCAGCATTCGTTTGTTCGGAGCTGCTATTCCCATTCAAAAAAGCCTGAGAGGAAAGGAACGAAAGTGATGCGCGTTTCTCTCTGTCACTGACAGGCTCGTTAACGTTGTCAAGGTAACCGTGCTTCAAAGAGATTTTACCTCCACCACTTTAAACAGCACATTTTCATCTAATGGAGGGAGACAACACTGATTTAACATTAGGAAGTGGATACAATATGACTACTGGCCATGACCCTTCCCTTCACACGCAACCCTGATAGACTTTCAAAATAAGACTCCGGGGACACTTCAAAATAAAAGCTCCTATATTAAACTCATATTTTTTTCCCAGCATATGGCTCAACATTATGACCCAAACTCAACCACTTTTTTAAAAATGAGACTCTAGGGGTTTTTCAAAACACACCCCACAGCAAATTTCAAAATAAAAGCCTCCCATTGCCACTTCATCTACTGCCCTAATAACAGGGGAAAGAATGATTTAATGATTGGAAAGTCATCAAGTATCACTGCTGGGTCTGACCCTTTTCTCAACACACTACTGCTAGACTTTCAAAATAAGACTCCAGTGACCCTACAAAATAAAAGCCTCTATATTATACACGCGTATTAATTGATGCAAATGGATCAGCATTATGACCCAAACTCTACCAGTTTGTTTCTATTAGACTCTAGGGACCTTTTCAAAACATACCCCGGAGTGAAGTTCACAATAAAAGTCTCCCATTTACGCTCTAATACAGCATCTATTCACCCAATGACATGGAAAACCAGTGATTTCATATTTAGAAATGGATTCTATATAACTGCTGGGCATGACCCTTCCCTTGACACACATCCATGATAGACTTTCAAAATAAGACTAAAGGGACTCTACAAAATAAAAGCCTCTTCCTTACACACACTCATTCATTGTGCCGTGTGGCTTGTAGCTATGACCCAAATTCAACCAATTTCTTCAAATTACACTACCAAGGCCTGTTGACCACAGACCTCAGAGCATATTTCTTAACCAGGTTCTAAGATTTACACTGAGATACAGCATCTGCTAACCTCATAACATGCAGCCTAAGCCTGCCAACGGTGCTTTCATCACTGCAGCGGCTCGTAACATGCAGGTTAGTTTTTTTTTTATAAATTCAGCTCCTTAAGTGGTATTAACTCTCTTTCTATAAGCTTCTCTCTCTGTCCTTCCTCTGCTTCTCATGGTCAGTCTTGCACATAGGTTTGTATATTTTCAATCCTCTAAGGATGACACTGTTTTCTTTATGCTGATCAACCGACACATTTTAAATATTTTCAAATTGTTTTGCCAAGTCTTGACATTTCCACAATTTCAAAATTTTGATACTTATTCAATACCATCTTCCTCAACATTTTACTTCCCATCCTTGAGCTACTCATATTTTCTTCAACCAGATAAGATTCAATTTTTTCTTTGTAATTTCTTTTCTGATTCAGCTAATTTTATATTGTTCAGCCTATGCTGTGAACCTTGGCTTAATTTTGCTCTTTTTCTGGACAGGAATTAAGCTTTTCTGTTTGCTGCTAATTCATAACATGCCTGACATGTTTCTGGGCAGTAGGTGGCCCCACTTCAAAATTTCTTTAGAAATTTTTCTAGAAACTTGATAGACATTATATTAAGACCCTTCTAGTGCACATATTACCGTATTTTCACGACTATAAGGCGCACTTAAACGTCTTTTTTTTCCCTCAAAATGTGCGGTGCGCCCTATGGTGCGGTGCGCCCTATGTGTGTTGTAACTGCGACTTTTGAGACCACCTCATTGAGGAGATGATGAAAGAGTGGCTGAATGTAAGGAGACCAGGTGTTTTTTTTCCACCCCTCACCATCGCTGTTAATATGTAACTCCATGCGTGCCCATCTCACAGCTGATGTGAAAAACATGGGGAAACAAATTAACGCTGCTCGACATCGGTGTGAACCGGACCCAGCAGGTGCAGCAGAAACAGCGAGTTTACATGCAAAGTCAATGGTTGACGCGCATATAGGTGCAGCAAAAGGTCCTGCACCGCGTTTTGGTGCAGCACGTCGGGAGCGTTTAAGCATCTGAAGCGCCGCGCTTCTGCTGCTCGAGATGGAAAAATTGAAGTTTTGCTGCTGGACGCGCCGCATCAACCAATCAGAGAAGCTGATCTGGGAGCTGCCAGCGAGACAGACAGCGCTCTGATGACATATGATATTAACGCAAATGGAAAAGGCTGGATGGATGCGTGGCTGAGGCAGGTGTATGTGAGAAGACTAGGTGGTTTTTTCCACGCATCACCATCGCTGCGTGCCCATCTCACAGCCGATGTGAAAAAAAGGTGAATCAAATGAACGCTGTGCTCGCCGTTATCCCGGGGGGTCTGACAAAGGAACTTCCACCGCTCGACATCGGTGTGAAGCAGCCGTTCGAAGTAAGGCTGCGAGCGGCGTGGGAGCGATGGATGACCGACGGAGACCACAGTTTCAGGATAAGAAGGCAGCGCCGGGCAGATTACGCCACAGTTTGCGGATGGATTGTAGATGCTTGGACTAAAGTGTCTGCTGGCTCTGTTGTTCAAGCTTTCGCAAAAGCCGGCATTATTTCTGAGGAGCTGCGCTGCACGGAAAGTGACTGACAGCGAAGAAGGGGAAACTGGCATGTCTGATTTAGCGCAGCTGTTTTATTCAGAAACAGAGGATGATGACTTTGATGGGTTTGATTAATACTTTGTAATAAATACATGAATAAAGCACAATCATACTCAGTTTTGCTCCCGCTGTATTTTTCTCCCTGAAAACTTAATTCAACAGCATCCCCGGCGCGTCTCCTCCTCTTCACCGCGGTGGCTGGCAGGTGTTTTTTCATCTAAATAATCTAAATCTTGCAGCTATATTTGCTGTGATCAGTGGGAATAAAGTAGTTTTAATATGTTTTTAAGTGAGAAAGTCCACCTGAAAACTTAATAATTGCAGTCAGTTCATCCAGATTATCTATTTCTGTCGGAGGCGCTCAGACCCCCACATACCAGCGGTGCGCCGACAGGAGAAATCCTTTCGTTCACCGCGGCTGCTTGCAGGTGTTTTTCATCTAAATAATCTAAATCTTGCAGCTATATTTGCTGTGATCAGTGGGAATAAAGTAGTTTTAATATGTTTTTAAGTGAGAAAGTCCACCTGAAAACTTAATAATTGCAGTCAGTTCATCCAGATTATCTATTTCTGTCGGAGGCGCTCAGACCCCCACATACCAGCGGTGCGCCGACAGCAGAAATCTCTTCATCAGCAGCCTGTAGGCTGGGCAGCCTGGGCTGGCAGGTGTTTTTCATCTAAATAATTTTAGCTGCAGGCACCAGGATACCGGCAATAAAAGCGAACATATTCCGTCAGCAGGTTTCAGGATTTTAAGTTAATTTAGGAGTGATCACAGCGCTGTGTCATCTGCGATGTCTCTGTCTCACGGCCAGCTGCCAGGTTTGATTAATACTTTGTAATAAATACATGAATAAAGCACAGTCATACCCAGTTTTGCCCCCGCTGTATTTTTAAATACGCAGTAGAGGTATTTAAAGGTAGTAGAGGACTTGTACCTGTATATAAAAAACGCGCCCTATAGTCCGGTGCGCCTTATGTGTGTGTTAAATACAGAAATGGGACACATAACTGAGAGTGCGCCTTTTAGTCCGTGCGCCTTATGGTCGTGAAAATACGGTAATGACATTTTTGATATTATGTATGGTTTGGCTGTGCAGCTTTTAAGATGAGTTTCTTTCTGCCATTTTAGTGCCAAATAATTCTACCCTACAAAAATCTTCAGATGATTCAATTGTTTTCTGCAGTTTGAAGTTTCTGATGACTTCCTATCACATTTTCATATGTTCTGCAGTTAATTTCAGCTTTATTCATTCAGCAAAAGCATTCCCACTTGCTGTTTCTCCGAAACAGCTTTTTCTAGTTATTCTGTGTTTTTTTTCGTAGATGCATATTTATTTAGAAACATGTGAATTTAAGATAAAGGATTAAATAACGGATATAAAGGAATTTTGTCATTGCTGGTGTGAGATTTATTTTATGATTTATTTATTTTTTATCCGATGCTGCTTTGAACGTGTTATCACTTAAATAGCTTGCTTTAATCGTCTCTAACGTATGACAATGTGTGTTTGTTTTTAATTTCAGAAGGTCAGCACGTGTCGAGGAAGGAAGACGATGTTTCTTGGAGTCTTAATGTACGCCAGCAGGAAACGATGCCTTTCTACATCAAAGAAGAGGAGGAGGAACTCTGGATCAGTCAGGAAGGAGATGATCTGCCCGGAGAAGATGGAACTGAATGCTCCAAATTCCCAATCAATGTTGTAGTTAAGAGTGAAGATGAAGAGGAGCCTGAGCCTCCACAGCTTAAGCACAGTCAAACTAGCACTAGAGAAGCAGAACTTCCAACCAGCAGTTCGTTTAAATGGATAAAAACAGAAACCGATGGAGAGGACTGGGGGCGACTGGAACTTCTCTGTGAGTCGGATCCAAGTCATTTCCAAATGGGTAAACATGGAAGGGATGCGGACTCTTCTGAAGCCGGCGAAGATTATGGCAATTATGGCTGTAAGAATTGGCCGGGAACTTTTGCAGTTACTGATAATCTATTGAAGGGAAGCCAGCTAGCCGAGTCGGCCATAAACGGTGGTGCAGGAAGTAACGCTGCCAAAAGGGTCTACAGCTGCTCTGAGTGTGGAAAACAGTTTCTAGATGAACCGTCTCTGAAGAGACACATGAGACGCAACACTGAAAAAAGTTCCTCCAACTGTTCAGTTATTCAGAAGTGCTCTGAAGTGAAGAAGAATACAAATTCACAGACCAAAGTCCACACCGGCAAGAAAAACTTCAGCTGCGAAATATGTGGCAAAACCTTCAGAGATCATTTCAGCCTCACGTCTCATATCAGAGTTCACACAGGAGAGCAACCCTTTGGTTGTGAAGTATGCGGTAAAAGGTTTAAGCACCAGCATGACGTGAAGAAACACATGAGAGTCCACACAGGAGAGATGCCGTTTTGCTGTGAGGTTTGCGGTAAAAGATTCAAGCATCAGCACAATCTGAAGACGCACATGAGAATCCACACGGGGGAGAAACCTTATGTGTGTGATATTTGTGGGAAAAGATCAAGGTTTCAGCATAACCTGAAGACGCATATGATAATCCACACAGGAGAGCGGCTGTTTGACTGTGATCTGTGTGGTAAAAAGTTCACTTGTAAGAAAAGTCTGAAGGCACATGAATCCGTACACACCGGAGAAAAACCGCACAGCTGCGAGATCTGTGGCAAAAGCTACAAACGAAAAACACACCTCCGTACTCATATGACTTCCCACACGGAGGAAAGGCCTTTCGGCTGCGAGGTTTGCGGTAAACGATTTAACCGTAAAACATACCTGGAGACGCACATGACGGTGCACACTGGGGAGAAGCCTTACAGCTGTGACTTCTGTGGTAAAAGGTTTACCAGGAAAACCCATCTGGATTCACACATTATAGTGCACACAGGAGAGAAACCATTCGGCTGCGCAGTCTGTGGCCAGGAATTCACCCAGCAAGGAAGTTTAGACCGGCATATGACATTACACTTAGGATAAGGAGTGTTTGTGTTAATGAAAAGTATTTAGTAAGCTATCTAACTGTATCTGCAAGCAGATACAGCTAGGATCTTTTTTTTTTCTTTTTTTGTTAAATCCGACTCTCCAGAACACTATTACTTTGCAGTGTTATTATGTATTCTGAGCTGGAAATGTGTCCAAACACATTTAATCTGAAAGCTATCTAACAGACTTTCTAGAAGTGAAGTATTAGGTTGATTAATTTGAATATTGTGTTTAGTATGTGTAGTAGTACGGAAGGGTTTCTATGTTGTGTATTAATGAGCAGTACATTTCTGCAGAACTTCAAACACCCATATAAGTAGGTTCGTATGAACTAGTTCCTCTAATACTAATATTTTGGACAATTTGAGTTTATATACATATTTGTTCTGTATATATCTTGGGAGACTTTGATTTCCAGCAGCCATCAAGAGTTTGGAGAGGTTTTCTCTTGAGATTGAAATCTTTGATCTGCTGACTAATTGCCGCTCTGGATTATGGAAGGAACTTGTACTTAATGACAATAAAATATTGTCAAAAACACTAAATCTAACCGTCTGCTCTGTTACTTTTTCAGTGGTGCAAGGAGGCGGTCTCTATGCAAACAGCACAATGTTACCTTGTTTTAACAATTCCCCCTTATTAAAAAAATCAAACATACTACATACACGAGGGCTGGAAAATAGTTCAGAATGTATCACAAAAGATTTTCATTCAGCAGCTTGCGTAGTAAGTCGGAATTCTTCCAATAGTTCACTCTTGGAATAAATATTGAATGTTTTAAAAAAGGCATGTATACTGCTTTCCAAGCGCTTTTATTTATTGTCAAATCTGAGTCGATTCAGTTTATTTATATAGCGCCAATTCACAACACGTCATCTCAAGGTACTTTACAGTTCAATCGATCTAGCTTAATGTTGGAAACTGAGTTTTAAAGTAGTAGGGCAATTGTATTTAAATATCAAATCATTCTGGTTTAAACATGTATATAAATGTATTCTTTATCAGACCAAATTGTCCCAAGAGTTAGAAAATTTCTGTTTAAAAAAAATCCTGTCTTAAAATCTTTTTTTCCATTGTCTTCTGCAGGCCAGTTAGTTCTACGTCAGCCTGAACACCTAAATTCGGCCAATCATATATCAACGGTCATCTGTCAATCAAATGTTTTCGGTCATAGCATCTTGATTCATGTGTCGCAGCTAATATACGCAACGGTTGAAATCAGAATCCTTTCCTTTCTCATTGAGTTGCGTCCCAGTGTTCACGGGGATGGACGTCTGTGTCTTCGGCAGGCGTAGAGCTAACAGAACTGGCAGCGTTGCGAGGCAAGGGCTCAAACATGTACGGCTGGAAGCCTTCTACACCAAACCAAGCTTCTGCCGCCCTGGCGTCCTCTTCCACAACATCTTCGTCCCCGCTTTCCTCTAAATAAAAAATGGATGACGGAGGAGACTCATCCACGACCTCCGACACTAAACTCTCCTCCTCTTGCATGTTTCCTCTGTCCATAGCGTTCCTTGACAGCGTCGTTTCTAAGTCACCAATTTAGTGCTACTTGGTCCCAATGGAATTTCCCATTGGGAACCTGCTAGCACTAAGTTGCTAACTGGTTAGCAAGATGCTTCCGACAAACCGGCTACAACCAAACTTGCTTGCGAACCTTTCACCACACAATCCCACCCCCTTGATAAACGACCAATCACATTCACTTTATTCACTCGTGTAAAGTCGAGCACCACTCAGGAGAATTCGGAAATGTAGCGTTGCACCGAAATGCAACGGTGCTGTGATTTAGTTTTATCAACTCTAAGTAGGTCTACTCAGAGTTGAGCAAATGTGCAACATGTATAAAAAGCCATTATCTGTGGAGCCCCGGTTCGACGAGTCACCATGACAACCGGAAGCACCTGTTTGTTGTCCAATCCCAAACCGGCCCCTAAACACTAATCCTGAGCACTAACCCTCCATTTGCATGTTCCCGTGGAGGGTCCACCACATTAAGGGCCGTCCCAAACTACGTAGTGGGTAGGGCGAGTGGACCGTTCAGCCCTTAGTGCACTATTTAAATGGTGCACTATTTAGACCCTCTATAACAGACCTTTGCATTGGAGAGACACAGGAGGGCCGACTCCTCAGGACAGGACTCAGCCGTTCACCTACACCTGCAGGCTAAAGGACGCTCTTTGATGACAACGTCCATATTCTTGCGAAGGAAGAAAAAAACAAAATTTGTACTTAAACAAGACTAGCTCTACTTCAATGCATTTTAAATGAACCAAAATTAATCCAAAAACCTATTTTATTAAAGTATTATGAAAAATGGCTTCTCAACTGCTAATTAACTTTAACATCAGACTTTATTTACAACCAACAACATTGATCCTCATGCCAGCAGAGATCTTTGAGGAATGGGGAACCAATATTTAACACAAACAATTAAGAGATTCCTTAGAATCAAGTTTGTTGCCAGGTAGGTTTGCATTTACAAGAAATTTGACTTGGTGTATTTCTGTAAGCCTGAAAAGCTCCCAAACTTTACTAGTAAGGTTTACCTGTCATGGGGATTGTTATGTTGACTATGAAAATCTCCCAACAGTTTATCACATAAGGAGCCACCCCTTAAAAGACCTATTTGATTCTACTTAATGCAATCAATTACTCCTCTTTTCTAGAAAGCAGAGCTAATTCATAGTATCAGAATTAATTTAATTAATGTGATTTATTTTTTAATAACAAACAAAAAAAAAAAAACAAAAGAACATCAACATTCTCCTATACACACATACATATATGCACAGATATATGTAATATATTTTTAACCATAAAAGGAGTAGAGTGAAGCAGAGTTTATATGTTGCACGTCTAGTTTAATGCTAATGCAGCTTCACATTTCTCTTTCACAAGCAAATCAAACTTATCGAGACATTTCTACATAAAGATAGTTTCTTACTTATTAGTTACAGTTACAGGTAAAAAAAAAAAAAACATGAATATCACTGTTTGTAAAAAAAAAAAAAAATGTTTCAAAATGAAAAGACCGTTAATTTTAGTGATGTATTTAATTTGGAAAACAAAATCTCCCATCACTGCTGGCCTGGTTACCACACTGTGCTCGCCTATGGAGTCTGCCACTCATAATATGGCGGAAGCGCTGACGCGTGCTTTCTACCAATCAAAGAACCGAAGAATTCATTACTATGGTGATAGGAAAAAAGAGGTGTCTAGACGGATGCCTGATCAAAAACATAAACCATCTAAGTCATTATTTAGAGATGAAAACATTAAATGAGATCCCGTCTGCAGGTGCTGGAGTCGTTTTTCTACAGAATGACTTCGCGAGATTCATTCTGCCCAAAATGTGAGCCGTTATTTTTATCTAGATTAAGCCAGTGCTGTTTTTTTTCCTTTTTTGGGGGGGGGGGGGAGGCCTAAATCTCCGAGCTTTTTGTAAGGAAAAAATCAAGACAGCATGAAGGAAGTGGATTATGTTAATAAAAACAGCAGTGAAAGTCTGCCTTTAGAGGACAACGTGCGGATGAAACAGCTCGGAGGTCGTGATTCGCAGGATGTTGGTAGAAATCAGTCCGCAGGTGAGAGCAGCTAGTTTTTATCAGCAGCTGTTAGCTTTCTGAGCCTGCTGGGATTTAAGGACACTTTATGCTGCTGCATCTCAAACAGACATATTTCATTTTAAATAAAGCTGATCTCAGCTCTCATTTCACTTTATCTGCTTTATATCCGACATGTTCGGGATGAATTGAACTGGTTTTAGCCGCTGTTAGCTTGCTGTAGCTCTGAGCTTTAATCTGTTTTTTTGTTGGAGTTTATCCCATATTCCACACTTTCATCTAGTCTCACTAATCCACTGTTATTCATCATTATTCTAGATTATAGATCCAATATTTATCCATTAATTAGGATCGTGTATGTAGTTCAGAATAAAAAGTAGTTTAACATTTGGAATAGAATAGAAAATAATTAGATTAGTTTAAAGATAAACTTCTTAGTAGAATAAAAGGTTTGGTGGATATTCAGCCCAAAGGTTTCCGGTCAAATTAAAAGATTTCCAACATTAAAAAGAATAACAGATAATATTCTGTCTAAATTAGAATAGAATAGAAACTGCCTTTATTGTCCCACAATGGGAGAATCAGAAATCAGTTTTTTCTCCTCAAAATAAACGTGGATAAAATTCTTCACTGAGATGAGAGTTATTCTAATTTTTTTTATTCTTACTTGAAATGATAAAGTATTGATCTGATTCAACCAAACATGGTTATTTAATTAGTCAGCCTCAAACCTTAAAGGAATAGTACACCCAAAACATGATTAGCCTTCATTTTCTACTCACCCCCATGCTGAACAACACTCTGGAGTACTTTTTTGATATCTCAAATGCATCTGGAGATCTGGGAGGCTTCTTGCTGTCTGCTGACATTCAAATAATGGAGGTCTATGGCGCCCGAGGCAGAAAGGTCCATAAAAGTCCACAAAAAACGTGTCAATATTCCTCCATACTGCTCGTCCAATGTATTCCAAGTGTCCTGAGTGGGTAGCGTCCAAATTTACTCGAAACGAAGTCATTTAGAATGTTTTTAGAGCATAAACAGTAGTGTATAGGATTTCCTAAAAGCGCGTTCACGACGCTACAGAAGCCGGCAGACCAAACCAGCGCATTCAGCTCGGCAAAGAACTCATGCTCTTCCTCAACACTGAAGTCCTCAGACATTTTTCTTTCGTTGTTTCTTTCTTTGCACAGGTAAACAGCACATTTCTTCTTCTACGCTTGCATTATCGGCAGAGCAGACGCTGAATGCGCACTTTCATCTGGTTTGGTCTGCCGGCTTCCGTAGGCTCGTGAACGCGCATGTGCGCGCTTTCAGGAAATCCTATACACTACTACTGTTTATGCTCTAAAAACATTCTAAATGACTTCGTTTCGAGTAAATTCTGGACGCTACCCACTCAGGACACTTGGAATACATTGGACGAGCAGTATGGAGGAATATTGACACGTTTTTTGTGGACTTTTATGGACCTTTCTGCCTCGGGCGCCGTAGACCTCCATTATTTGAATGTCAGCAGACAGCAAGAAGCCTCCCAGATCTCCAGATGCATTTGAGATATCAAAAAAGTACTCCAGAGTGTTGTTCAGCATGGGGGTGAGTAGAAAATGAAGGCTAATCATGTTTTGGGTGTACTATTCCTTTAAGAAATGGGAATAAAATATTATTAATTCTTAATAGCCGGAATCAGTTTAATCAGTGTTTCAGGCAGAGATGCTGAATAAAAAGCTGCTTAAAGTCAACAATTCAATCACAATCTGTTAACCTGCTGATTAAAAAATTTGCTAATTTTACCGTGAATGTTATTTTTTTTAAAGGAAAAGTCCAGCCAGCAAGGAATAATCAAGGATTCATTATTTATACCTAAAACAAATACGTTTATGGTGATTAAATGAATTTAGCGTTAATCAGTACAAAAAATAAAAATTATTTTCATCACGATCACTGAGTCTGGGAGCGGCCATTTTTGCCCAAATATAGTAGCACCTTTTCCAGCTGGATCTCCGCTCTTTTTGGCCCTCATGTCCCTCCATTGTCTGACAAACTTGCCCCCACTTCCTCACCGCCTCGGCCGTATCTAGACCCACAGCTAGTTCCTGATTTTCCCCTCTTGCATTGTGGCGTGGAATAACATAGCGCAGACCACGCTTCAATATTGGGCAGAAATCAAAAATATCTGCGACACGCTCATTGCGACACACTGCTGAGGGAGGATAACCAGGCCTTTCGTTTTTGGACATTTCGGCTCCCAAGAAATAAACCTGCTGTGATAAACTTATTTTTTGATGCTGTTTGCTTTAAAATTGTTATATTGTTTTAAAGGTACACTATGCAACCGGTGTTGATTTTCCAGCGAGGCTCCCCCCAGAGGGCGAAAGTAAAAGTGCACTGTCGTAAATATGCACAGCTGTTCTCCTGGTTTCTCCGTCAAGCCAGGCGCGGTTGTTTTGAGCTTAGCAGACAGGCGAACGCAACGAATGACTAATGCTGCGTTCACACCGGGCGCAGCTGGCGCGACAGAAGCAGCGAGTTTACATGCAAAGTCAATGGTTGACGCGCGTCAAGTCGCAGCAAAAGGTCCCGCGGCTCGTTTTAGCATCTGACGCGCGTGACGCGCCGCAAACGCGCTGCTGCTCGAGGTGGAAAAATTTAATTTCTGCTGCTCGACGCGCCGCAACAACCAATCAGAGAAGCTGATCTGGGAGCTGGCAGGGAGAGAGACACAGCGCTGATGATCAGAGCGCTATGATCACTCCTCTGAAACAGTTTATTGACGCCTAAATTAACTGAAAATGCAGAAATCTGCCGGCAGAATATGTTCGCTTTTATTATCCTGCTGCCTGCAGTTTGGATTATTTAGATGAAAAACACCTACCAGCCGCCGTGGTGAACCGCAAGGAGGCGACCCGGCCAGAGGCTGCTGATGAAGGGATCCATACTGTCGGCGCACCGCTGGTATGTGGGGGTCTGAGCGGCTCCGACAGAAAAAATATTGAAGGCAGGATGATAATCTGAATGAACTGACGGCACTGATTACGTTTTCAGGTGTATTTTCTCACTTAAAAACATATTAAAACTACTTTATTCCCACTGATCACAGCAAATATAGCTGCAAGGCAGAGAAAGGATAGAGTAGCTCCGCCCAACGCGCGTCAGACACACTTTTGCACCGCGCAGCCAGAGCAGCAAAGCTGCTTCAGCCGCGCGTCAGAACTAAACTGGTACAAGCAGCAAAAATGAAGCAGCAGACACGATTTTGCTGCGTGAACGTAGCATAACTTCACAAAGATCGCCACTGTGCTAGCAACGAGAATGCTTTTAACTGGGGGCGTGTAGCAGTTCTCGCCGTAAAGCAAGACCGACTCTCGTGAGACTTCTGAGCCTGTGGGTGCGGGTCGGTGCTCCTGCAATTCCAAGTACGGTATTTCCCCCACAGACCACCAGGGCGGCCGAGAAAACCTTTGTTCCACCTGAAATGACTCATTTAGTCATCCATAACGTTATGGAACACATTAATTAACTGAAAAATGTTGCATAGTGTGCCTTTAAGTCTTATTGTGAAGTTTTAGTTTTATTTGTCTTATAGTAGTTTACTATGTAGAGCTCTTTGTTCTGGCGTTTTATACATATATTACGTAATTAATTGCACAGTTAAATTCTCATGCATCTTATCACTAAAGACTGGATGACAGGATGTTTTAGTGCCGTGCATCGGCCTCCACTCAACCCTTCCTTCTCCTCTCCTCAGCGTAGCGAGGAGTTAACTGATGATCAATCTGCGTTTCTTACTCCACTTTTATTTTCATCAGCTAACTTTATTATTTTTTTCCATCAGCTGACTTCATTTGTTTTAATTTTTTCAGTTTATTTCTTGATTTATTCAACTTTTTAGTATTATTTTATTATTTATTATTTACTTTATTTTTGTATTTTTTTATCAGCTGAATAAAAAAAAAATCAGCTTACTTTATTTTTAAGATTTATTTTGTTTAGTTTTTCATTGGCTGACCTTAACAATTACCTCCTAAAGGATGAGTCATCTGTGAGGCAAAAATAAAATCCTGTTAGTCCTGAAATCTGAGTGTTTTAGAAATAAACGTACCTTCCTTGCTCTCGGCTCAAAGCATAAAAGGTGAAATAAGATGCAGAAGCTTCAGTTTCCTAATGTTTTGTTTTGTTTTCCTTTAGATGTTTCCCCTCCTTCAGTGAATAAAGAAGAGCTTCCCTGGAGCCCCAGTTTGGATGAGCAGGAGTCCGAGTCCTCCTTCCTAAAGGAAGAAGTTGATCAAAGTTGGACAAGTCAGGAAGAAGCGCAGACGGATAGAGAAGATGAGACTGAATACATCAACTTCCCGCTCAATGTTATTGTGAAGAGTGAGTATGATGATGAAGAGGAGCCCGAATCCTCACAGCTTCATCCCAGTAAAACTGATGATTCCACAGAGACAGAGCGTCCGACCACCAGCACCGTTAAATGGATCAAAACAGAAACTGATGGGGACTGCGCACAGCTGGAACTAGTCTGGAAGCCCGGTCCGAAACATTTCAAAAAGCGTTCAGACAGAAAGGCTGCGGACTCCTCTGAGACAGATATTAGTGAAGACGATGGTTACGATTATTGGCAGCAACCTTTGACTGAGAAGGAAAGTGGATGGAAAGCAAGCGGTTCAGTTAATCCCAATTGTTCTGAAGCCATGGCGCCTCCAGGTCCAAAGGCCAAAGGTCACGTAGGAAAGAGAAACTTCAGCTGCGATGAATGTGGTAAAAAATTCCGAGATCAGTTTAGTCTGAAATCCCACATCAGAGTGCACACAGGAGAGCAGCCATTTGTCTGTGACGTTTGTGGGAAAAGATTTAAGCACCAGCATGACGTGAAGAAACACATGAAGGTCCATTCAGAGGAGCAGCCGTTCGTCTGTGAAGTTTGTGGTAAAAGATTCAAGCATCAGCACAATCTGAAGACGCACATGAGAATCCACACAGGGGAGAAACCTTATATCTGTAACATCTGTGGAAAAGCAGCACGGCACCAGAACAACCTGAGAACACACATGATCGTCCACGGAGGAGAACAGCCATTCAGCTGCGATATCTGTGGTAAAAAGTTCAACCGGCAGACCAACCTGAAGGCGCACAAGGCCGTTCACACCGGAGAGAAACCGCACAGCTGTGAGATCTGCGGGAAAAGCTACAAACGTAGAACGCACCTTAGGGGTCACATGACCACCCACAGCGAGGAAAGGCCTTTTGGCTGCGAAGTCTGCGGGAAAAGGTTCAACCGTAAAACGTATCTCCACACGCACATGGTGGTCCACACCGGCGAGAAGCCTTACAGCTGCGACTTCTGCGGTAAAAACTTCTCCAGGAAAACTCACCTGGATTCACACATCGCTGTTCATATGGGAGGGCAGCCGTTTGGTTGTCCCGTCTGTGGGGAAGAATTCCCCAAACAGGAAAGCTTAGACCGACACATGCCGCTACACTTCATATAGGTCCGCATGTTGAAATGACTACATGCATGGATTCCCAACGCTCTTCATTCCACTCTGGTGAATTATAAACAAAACAAAGATTATCTTAAAAACAATAAACCAGAGAGATGTTCCACCTGAGGAGCTGGAAGCCTCTTGGAAACTAAGTAGCTGAAGGTGAATCCTCTTTCAGCAGCTGACTTTACCTTGAGTTTGTTCTGGAAATGAACAAATATAGATGATTGTTGAGAGGATTTTACTAAGATATTAACTTTCCAACGGTACTGTTTTGGAGTTGGGATCTTATAGATTACCTGGTGCCAAAGGAGGCTTTAAGAGCAGACAGGAAGTGACTTCACAACAGCTTTGAGCCAAGCTAGCTGCAGGATGAGTTTCTTCTTTACCTTGTTAGCCGAGTAGCTTTGGGTGGATTCTGAAGTGTTTTCTTCCAGTCAGATGGACTTTATATCCGAGGCTCAATGGAGAAAGCGTTCCTGAAGAAGTCCAGCCTTAAGGATCCCACAAACCTGGACGGACGGCATACGAATGTGGATTCGGCACAAACTTCTCAGCCAAATGCCTTTATTTTCCACACTGCTGGGGCGTAATCGGATAAGATTACTTTCTAGATTTAGAACAAACAAAAGAAAGGAAGTCTAGATTGTTGCCGTTTCCTCTCCCGCACCTGCATGGCGGAGTGAGCGGCTCAGAAACGTTGGCTCCTGTGGACCGGGTCCTCTGAGCCGTGTGTGGCGTTGCCAGCTGTGGAGCCTTGTGGTTGCTTTCGCTACCCTTTCAGAGGCTGAAAGAAGTGTTGACCAAAATACGGATTGTCTTTACAACAGTTTTTGGTTTTATTATTTTTGTGCATGTTTGCAAATGTAAAAAACATCTTTTGCTTCTTTCATATCAGTTATGAATTAAGCTAGCACAACCGTCATTCTCTCCAATTACAACTCCTTCTTATAACCCAGTATACACTACAGTTACACATGCATGACTTTAATGCATACGTTTAAAACAATAATTTTCATCCCTGCTGTACGGCTGCATTCACACCAAAAGCATTTTGAGCATTGAAAACGCTTTAAGGCCAAAATTGAGACGCTGGATCAAACTGTGGTGAAGTTGCTTTGCTGCTCTGCTTGTTTATCTGCTCGGTTCTGTAGCTTCAAGCTAAAGAGCAGCTTGGCTTTATTTACTTTGATAAGGTGGAAAAATAATTTTAACAGATTTTTAAGCAAGAAAGTCCACCTCCAACCATCCTCTGTTCATCAGGATTATGATCCAAGTAAAGCACCAGACCTCCAGCGTACCGCCGGGAGGCAGCGTTGGAAATCCCCGCTGGAAGCTCTCTGTTGTAGCCAACCTGTGGGGGAATTCCTGCTGCCGCTGTGGCTACCAGATCTGCTCAGGTCCTGCTTCCTGCCAGTGACGTTACGCTACATGATGTAAAACATAGTGGTTGCCGAGACAACGATAATAACATCACGCAGCATCAGGGTGCCGAGTCGGGAGCATCTGTAGCATTAGCGCGTCTAATGATCGATTCAGTTTTACCTGATCGATAACAAAACTGAAATAAATCTGTTTCTGGTGAACAAAGTAACTGTTAGACCGTGATATAAAGAGCTGGGTAGCGCTGTGGCTAGCTGTAGCTAACAGGTTAGCATCTTTTAGCTCGATCAGTTAGCCACAGTAAGTTACACTACTTTTAAACCGTTCCTTTTCAACAAGTTAAATAAGTGTTTTATTTATCTAAAATCTTTACAAAAGTCAGTTTTTAGATGCTCCATTTGTCCTCTGACCTCAGATCTTAATAAAAAGAATAAAAATAAGCTGAGAATTTTTATGTCTTCTTGTTAAATATCAGAGCTCAGTCTGTCTTAGAGCAGGATTTTCCTTCCAGACTGACAATGATTGTTTTCTACTTTCTGCTGCTTTAGATCACAGATGAAATGTAAAATAATAGTAAATATAGGGAATAATATGTTGAGACTCTAAAAAAGATTTGAACCTTAATAAACGGGTGCAGTACAGTTTGACTGAGTGGAGTTGTCATATGATGATGTCAAAAGAAGGGGCGGGGCCCCGAGCAGATCTGGTACCTACAGCGTTTATAGCGGCTGGAAGTGAATAAAAAAAGTTTTAAAGGTTTGTGGTAAAAACTGCAAGTACCAGAATATACGATCGAATATTTTTTCATTAGCAGGTTTTAATTTTTCTAGTTAATTTGGGTTTTTATAAACAGTTTTGTCATAACTCATAAAAACGTTTTAGAGCAGCAATAATGATCAGAGCTCCTATGACTTTTTCTCAATCTTTGGAGTTTAATTCCCTTGATATTTATGTTTCATATGCAGAATATCTGCAGAAGTGATGACAGCTTCTCTCTCGAAAAACTCCTGGATCAACTTTTCTGATTGGTTGAGGCTTCGGTATCCGGCGGCAAAAGTTCGATTTGCTGAACTCCAGCGTCAAACGTTCCGACACCAGAATAGTAGGAAGTGCTGCTGGACATCAGGACGCCGTCCCACATAGTTTGCATCTAAATCAAACACTTTGATGCCCAGAACACAGCAGGAGTCAGAAAGACCTTTATATCATGTTCAATGTTCCGTCACGGTGGAACTGGAAGCATCCAAAAGATCCCAGAACCATCCGTACTTAGCTAGCACCCCGAAACAAACCTGTTCTCCATCCTCTTCCTGTCTCTGCAGTTTTTGTCATCAAATCAGACGAGCAGAACTAATGTTTATACAAAAAAAAAAAAAAACTGAAAAACCCAGAAATATTTGTGCTTTGAGCACGTTTAGTTTTTACCTCTCTGTCTCCTGATGTTGGTTTGTTGTTTGGGGGAAACTGGTGCTTCAACAATAGAAAAGCAAATGAAAGCATAATGTTACATTAAAACGTGTTTGATGTAGGAGATAAGAGAGCAGCATCTTATGTTACTGTAATCTCCCTCATAAAGCAGGAATGGGTTGGTATGAATACCTGGAAATATTAAAGGAAAAGTCAGTGCAGCAGGAAATAATCAATGGATCATTATTTATACCTAAAACGTTCACGGAGATTTAATAAATTTAGTGCTAATTAGTAAGAAAATAAAAGTCTGGGAGCGTCCATTTTTGCCAAAATCTAGTAGCCCCTCCCTCCTGCCATCTTCCAGCAGTGACGTCACGGTGCGGTAAGCCTAGCGCCATTCTCCCCGCTTTCCAAGCTAAATCAATGGGAACTACTAGACACATCTGCAATCAACAACAATTATTGAAGATTTCCAGAGGACTTCACCATTGAAATTCACCAGAGCTATAGTGAAACTGACAATGCCCACGTGCATGGCAGCTGGATGCTGGAATACATCGGGTAAAAGTGAAAAAAAAAAAAAAAGAGTTATTCCACCTTTCTGATTCCTGATCCTCCACGGACGGGTTGGTCGTTGGATCGCCAACTTGAAGAGGGAGGATTTGCCATCGAACTTCTGGCCAGAGAAAAAGCCCGTAATATGTAGCCAACATTTGGAAGGAGAATGTTTTCAAGATGACTTGGATAATAGCGCGTTGTGACAAACACCAGATACAGCACTGGGACTTGATCAACAGCCGATACCGCACCGTGACAATGTCACTAACCAGTAGGTGGCAGTAGTGTTCTTTGACAAACATGGATGCCTCCAGTAAAGCACATTCACATGAAAATGACTCTGAATTAAAAACACTGATCATTTATTGAACAGGATGGAATCATTTTTGATTTAAAGAACTTTCAGAAGTTTGGATTCTGAATATGAGCGACTTTTCCTTTAAATAAAAACCTGATTTATGGCCATTTCAGTCAGAATTTGTCGACTCTCAGCCCCTCGGTTTCTTCTCCAAGTCTGAGAAATGAAGCTGTTATTTCTTGTCAGCAGGTGGTGCTGATGGGACGCTGTTAATTTGTCCGTAGCAGACGGGGAATGTTTTATACCTGAATATTATTTCTATGAGAAACCATTGTGCTTAAATGTGTTATTCTGATTCCAGATGTGCTGTTTTTGTAGCTTCTGCTTGGTAGAAAACGAGAGATTAAAGCAAATCAGCCGCGTGTTGAACAGAATAATTAAGCTGCTGATTGTTTCCAATCTTTTCATGTCTGTTTTCATTTCAAATAATAAAACAGTCAAACTAATCTGCTCTAATCTGACAGGAGGAAGACTGACTGTAGTGAAGGTCTGGAATCATGATCAATATTTGAAGAATTAATGTTTTGCAACGGTTGTTACTGAAATATCATCACATTAAACTCGCTTTAAAGTGTTTTTATTTGAGTGAATCAGTTTTTTCTGGTGGCTCTGCATGTCTTTCCTCTCTCCACATGTTGTTTTTCTCTGTTTTACCGCATTGAGCTCTTCTTAGCTGATCCTTCAGACTGAAACAGCTCTGCTGAGGCTGAGCACTGCCTCCCAGCTGGGAGCGAATCCCCGTCGATCACCAGCGATTTTCAGTTCTACACTGAGAACCAGGAAAGGTGAAACTTCAGAGAAGAGACGCCGTTCATCATCTGGTCTACAGCTAGCATGGCTGACACTCTGAGAACCCAGCAGAAACCCAAACATCTGAGCCCATCACTGCTTATTATTACCTCCACCAGGGAGGTTATGCTTTTAGGAGATGGTCTGTCTGTGTACAGGATAAATTAGAAAGTTAAGCTGGGAAAACACTGAGATATTTTCAATCGTTGCACGCAGCTACAGCTCAAACTGAACGATAAAATGGCAGGGTTTTTAAAGTGGGCATACTCAAAGTCTGTCCTGCAGGTTGATTGCAGTTTAGCTTTTGCTGAATCAGCTATGCTAAAGCAGGGAAACCTCTAAAACCTGCAGGACAGCGGCGCTCCAGGACCAATCGCATTGAACGTCACAGCTCACAATGTTTGTTCTCACACTGTGCGACCCAACGCTCTGATGCGATCTATCCGCTCACACTGCACGTCCAGAAACCACACGTTGGACCAAGAGATGGCGCTGGTCGGACTTGTCA